TCCAGCAGCTCCCTCAGGCTCTCGTTGACAGATTTGTTGATTGGAGATAGCAGTTTGCGTCCACTCCTGGTTCGCATACACAAAGACAAGAAACCGTCACGAGCACCAGATAAACAAAAGAAGAAAAACCTAAGAAAAACATAGAACCACAAATCAAGAACTAATAAATTAGTAAAATAAAACGAAGAGAAACACTAAAAACAAAATGAATAGGCGCACAAAATAATCCTAAACCTTCCCCGGCAACGGCGCCAATTTGTTGTAAGTATTTTTACCGGAGTAGAATCGAAAGATTCGACACCGGGTCGTATCGCAATGAAGGTTAGCCGGATTATTAAGCACGTTTACTCAACACAATTAAAAGAAATAAAAATAAAAGAAATAAAATTCCTAAACATTCTAAATCAAATAATTGGATGGGTTTTTAGTTATCAACTACTGCAAATAATTAAATAAAGTAGAGAAAGTAGTAAGCAAGGACGAAGAACAATTATGGTAAAAGCGCTAGGGTATTGGGGATTTCGCTTCCGGTTCTCAATGCATTTAGCAAGCAATGAATTACTCGGCTAAAGGATTCAATAAACTAACTCATCCAGAGATTCATTCTCAATATCTCACGAAACAAGAGAATAAACATAAATAAATCATTAACGAATCAATTAGCACATAGACAATACGTTACCGAACAAGCCTATTCTTAACGAGCCTAGATCGAACAATTTATCCCCTTTTGGTTTCTAAATTGATTAATTAGATTAAGATGGAGATCAAGCATCTAAACCCTAGGTTAAGCACAACTCGGAAAGATGAGCAATTACCAAGCATTTAAACAAAATCGAACCGGACCGATAATCCCCTACCCCTAGCTAATGAATTTAGCTACTCATTATGCATTCAACATCAACATATTCAATAATCAAAGCCATCTCAATCGAAAGGAAAACGAAAGTAAAGCTTACGATTAACGAATCCAAAGTCGAGAACAATAGAAAAACCAAATCCAAGAGTCAAATCTCTAAGTTTTCACCCTCAAGATTGATCCCTAAGAGAAACAAGTGAAAAATATGGGTTCTGGAACTTATTTCGTACGAGAAAGAACAAAACCTAACATCGAACATAATGAAAAACGATCTCAAAATATAACTTTAAAAATATGCAAGTCGCGGCCTTCGCGGGCCGCAGCACATCTCGCGGGCCGCGGCGAAGAAGCTCCGCGGCCGTGGTGAACCTCCGAGGCCGTGGAAAAACCTAGACTGAAGTGATGTTCGTCCGCGACATTTTGTTCGCCGCGGCCGCGGTGAAGGAACCGTCGCGGGCCGCGGCGAGTAAAACTGGGCAGTGCAAATTTGTTCTCCGCGACCTCGGAAGCATCGCGGGCCGCAGTGAAGGCTGTTTTCTGGCAAGGTGATGGTTTTCGGCCTCGTACGCACGCATTCGGATACGGAATCGAATTCCGTCTTTTCCTACTCGACCCCAACTCATCCATCTATGTAGTAGTCCACACATGGTCATTCATCGAGCGACTCATCCTGCACATCACCACCGACAAGAAACGCACAGAAAACCGGAGAAGAGAAACAAAAAGACCAAAAACGAACAAAACAAAGGAAATGCAAGACGAGACTCAAAATGGACCAAAAGCCAAAAAGAAATACCTAGAATGGGGAAAAATAAACATAAAATAAACACGAAAACACTAACAAAAATGGAAAGAACACTACCTTTGTCGTAAGTATGTCCTGAACGGGCTTAGTAACGAGTTGTACAATGTGTACAGCTCTGTTGGTTCTGCCAAGGAGCTTTGGGCTGCCCTGGAGAAGAAGTACAAGACCGAGGATGCTGGGGCGAAGAAATTTGTCATCGGCAAGTTTCTTGACTTCAAGATGGTTGACACGAAGACTGTCGTGTCACAAGTGCAAGAGTTCCAGCTAATCTTGCACGATATCCATGCTGAAGGGATGACCTTGAGCGAGTCATTTCAAGTAGCGGCTGTGATCGAGAAGCTGCCGCCAGGCTGGAAGGACTTCAAGAATTATCTCAAACACAAGAGAAAGGAGATGAGTCTTGAAGATCTGGTAGTTCGTCTTCGTATCGAGGAGGACAACCAAAAGTCATTAGGAAAAGTCCCGATGATGGAAGCTCGTGCCAACTTGCTGGAGCAAGGCAACTCGAGCAAGAGGAAGACCCAGAATAAGGGAAAGCAGCCAGCCAAGGTTTGGAAGTTTACCGGAACTTGTTACAATTGTGGAAAACCAAACCATATGGCTAAAGACTGCAAGAGGCCAAAGAAAGCTGGGCCAAATAAAGGGCAACCGAGTGCCCTTGTTGCTGAACACGGCCCTGTGCCGGGTGAATTGACCGACTTTGATATGTCGGCAGTGGTGTTTGAAGCCAATTTGGTGGATAACCCGAGGGAGTGGTACATCAATACTGGTGCCACTCGTCATGTGTGTTCCGACAAGGAGGTGTTCTCTGAATACACTCCTGCTACGGGTCGGAAACTTCACATGGGAAACTCCTCCACGTCTGATGTGGCTGGAGTGGGCACGGTGGTGCTAAAGCTCACTTCTGGAAGGGAGTTGAAGCTGAAGGATGTTCTGCATGTTCCAGACATCCGCAAGAATTTGGTCTCGGGATCACTTCTTGTTGAGCATGGATTTAGGCTGGTATTTGAAGATAAGAAGTTTATTCTTAGCAAATATGGAAAATTCCTTGGTCGTGGTTATATCGACAAGGGATTGTTCAAAATGAATGTAATGGCAGTAAGCCGTGTAACCGTTGATAATAAAAAGCCTATTTCTGTTTATACTGTTGAGTGCTCTGACTTATGGCATATTAGATTGGGACATGTAAATCTAAATGCAATTAAACGGTTGATGAAATTAGAATTAATTCCTAATTCTAAAGTTGAAACAAATACAAAATGTGAAATTTGTATTGAAGCAAAAATGGCTAAGTTGCCTTTTCACTCGGTGGAAAGGAGTACTGAACCATTAGGCTTGATTCATACTGATGTATGTGATATGAAAAGTGTGCAAACAAGAACCGGTAAAAAGTATTTTATAACTTTTATCGATGATTGCACAAGGTTTTGCTACTTATATTTGTTAAGAAGCAAAGACGAAGCTGTGGAAGCTTTTAAAGTCTATAAGACCGAAGTTGAAAATCAACTCGGCAAAAGGATTAGAATAATCCGAAGTGATAGGGGTGGGGAGTATGTAGCTTCTTTTGAACAAATATGTTCTGAATATGGCATAATTCATCAAACGACGGCCCCTTATTCTCCACAGTCGAACGGTGTTGCTGAATGCAAAAATCGAACTTTAAAAGAAATGATGAATGCCATGTTGATTAATTCAGGATTACCACAGAACATGTGGGGGGAAGCTGTTTTGACAGCAAATCATATCCTGAATAAAATACCATCTAAAGGAAAAGATGAGACTCCTTACGAAATGTGGAAAAATCGTAAGCCGTCTTATAAATACCTGAAAGTGTGGGGGTGTTTGGCTAAGGTTTCAGTACCTGAACCAAAACAAATGAGAATCGGGCCAAAGACGGTCGATTGTGTATTTATTGGATATGCGTACAATAGTACAGCATATAGATTTCTGGTTCATAAATCAGAAAATCCAGAGGTATTTGTTGGTACCACGATTGAGTCAAGGAATGTTATATTCTTTGAGAATGTTTTTCCTATGAAGGAAAGGGCAGAATCTAGTTCTAATAAAAGAACGTATGAAACTGCTAGTGGTTCTGTACCAGAGGGTACTAATGAAGAACCGAGACGTAGTAAAAGGGTAAAAAAGGCTAAAACGTTTGGACCGGATTTTATTACGTACATGTTGGACGATGAACCGAGTTCCCTTAAGGAAGCTCTGTCCAGCCCAGATGGACCACTCTGGGAAGAAGCTGTAAATAGCGAAATTGAGTCCATTATGCAAAATCATACTTGGGAGTTGGTTGATCTCCCTGATGGTTGTAAACCTTTAGGATGCAAATGGATCCTAAAGAAAAAATATAAAGCTGATGGATCGATTGATAAGTTTAAAGCACGTTTGGTGGTCAAAGGCTTTAAACAAAAGGAAGGGTATGATTTCTTTGATAGCTATTCACCTGTTACGTGTTTAGCGTCGATAAGAGTGCTTCTCTCG